AGTCCTCGCGAGTCACTACTGTCGAACTATCCTAATGACCAGCACGATTACAACAGAACACAAGTGGAGACACACAAGACACAAGTGGAGTACGCTACACCACAAGACACCAAGTTGGGACGTACACACAAGACACAGTTGGAGACGTACAACAGACACAAGTGGAGACGTAAACCACAAGTCACGACACCACAGACCGGTTTATTTCTGGGGAGTTTTCAATGCCAAGATAAAAGTAAAATTCCTACTTCGTGGTTCGTTGTAGAGGTCCCACGAGTTGGTCCCGTTTTTTCAATACACGTGGGGACATATATTATATATATATGATGGATGAGTCACGATACGTCGTCGGTGTGTTGTCTGTGTGAAGAAGACAAGTACGGGTCTTATTGTTAGTACTTGGTATTCCGTCTAGCGGGGAAACCATTTTGGTTACGTACACGTCCATTCATGGTTGGAAGTCGGAATACCTACGATGTAAGGAGGATATCATAGGCAGTTAGGTTTTTAGGCTAAGTGTCTGCGAACTGAGCCTGTTTTATGCAGAGTCCTATCGAACAACACTGAGAAATGAGACATTTGTTTTCATAGGTTAATGTTTGTGTATAAAAAGTGTTCATTTTTTGATCAAACGAGACACGAAGAAAAAGGAAGAGTGTGTGTTAGTGGTCGTCGACGGCAGCCGATATTGGCAGAGCATTAGTGTTTTGTCGACGCCAGCAGATACGGGAGTAAGGTGTGCCGACCAAGTTTATTTACTTTTTTTTTTTTTTTTTTTTTTTTTTTTTTTTTTTTTTTGTTTTTTATATTGTGAATAGTTGTTCGCTAAATATATATGTATTATATAAGTTTTAATATGTAAACTTGTATAGCAGTGGAAGAATGATTACCGATTCAGTATAAAAACCTCTTTACAAAAAAACGGATTTAGTAGAGACTCTGTTGTGTGTGGTGGTGTGTGTGTGTGCGGACCACTGGCCTGTAGAGGAAGTATTTTGCTTATATTCCACATGTTAGCCCGTCAAGCTACAGGGAATTCCAACCACACACACAACACCACACACACACACCACATACACACACACACACACACACACACACACGCACATCTCTTCCACACACACCAATTTTGTTTCCGGCGGACGTCAGCGAGAAATCGACAAGATTACTCCATTTGTGTCACCCTTCCGTGTCGAGGTGAAGGATGAACCGCTTGGCCATTGAAAGAGCACGTGTGTCCTCGCATGAGAACGCTGCTTCTTCATTAGTAGCACTAACGCGTTTGGCAAAAAAAACAGGCAAGGTTGTTTGTACAAATATGCTGGTAGTTGTGGTGACATGGCAGGTATCCATGCGGATTTTTTATATAACATCCCGGATTGGATATATCTTGTACAGCCACTTCAAAAAAAAGTTTTATGTTTGTCTAGTACGTAAAAGTTGGTACTGAGTAAAACGAGGGTAAGCGAGAAAAGGAGTTATGGGTTTTAGAGATTTTTGCCTCGACGTTGCCTAAACTATGTCTAAACTTAAAAAGACTGCGTCTTTCCCCACGAGACCAGATATACCCGTTTGAGGAGGTGATAAGTCCCCTTACTCTCTGGCGAGCTTCGGCGACCTCTGCGACATATGTTATAAGGTCCGGGAAATTCACTGGCGACATCAAGACGGCCGTTTTCGTCGCTTCTTGCTGAAGAGTGTCTTGAGTCGGGAACGTTTTGTCCCGACCTTTCTCGCTGTACCTCGTTTTACTCCGTAGCCAAATTTTACGTACTAGACAGAACATAAAACTTTTTTTGAAGTGGCTAGACAAGATATATCCATACCGGGATGTTACTATAAAAATCGCGATGGATACCTGGCCATTGTCACACAAGAGGATACCAGCAATTTGTACAAAAAACCTTGCCTGTTTTTTTTGCCAAAACGCTAGTGCTATTATGAAATAACACCGCGTTCTCTATGCGAGGACACACGTGCTCTTTCAATGGCCAAGCGGTCATCCTTCAGCCATCGACACGAAGGTGACACAAATGGAGTAATCTTGTCGCATTTCTCGCTGACGTCCAGAACGAAACAAAATTGGTGTGTGTTGAGATGTGGTGTGGTGTGTGTGTGTGTGTGTGTGTATGTGTGTAGTGTGTTGTGTGTCGTGTGTGTGTCGGAGATTCCTGTAGCTTACGGGCTAATAATGTGGATTAATAAGCAAAATACTTCCTCTAAGGCCCCAGGTGGTCCCGGCACACACACACCACACACACAACCACAGAGTCTCTACTAAATCGTTTTTTGTAAAAAGAGGTTTTATACCTGAATCCGGAATCAAAATCTTCCACTGCTATACAAGGTTTACATATTAAACTATATGAAACAGTATAATATTGTAGGGACAACTATCACAATAATAGTAAATAAACTTGGCGGGCACACCTTAACTGCCGTATCTGCTGCGCGCCGTCCGAGCAAAAACACTAGTGCTCTGCAATATCAGCCCCCCTGCCGTCCGACGACCACTAACACACACTCTTCCTTTCTTCTTCGTGTCTCGTTGCATCAAAAAACTGAACACTTTTTATACACAAACATTAACTATGGAAAACAAAATCATTGTCTCAGTTTGTTCGATAGGACTCTGCGTAAAACAGGGCCACTGCAGAGTCCTGCACGGGTCTGATTTTCAAGACCCGCTCCCGCCCCGCACCCGCGACGTGCAATACCGAACCCGCCCCGCTACCCGCACATATAGCCAATTAGTTCCGCAACCCGACCCGACCCGCCGGCAAAAGATCCGCAACCCGACCCGAACCCGCATATACAGTATATAAGCAGTGAAAACGTGCAATTATTAACACACGCAGTTGCATGTTTGGCTCAAAAAGCCTGGGAGGTTGGTTATTTTCTCCATCTAGGATGACACCAAAAGCCTCCCAGATGTTGGATTTCGCTCTTGAGGAAGAGTTATTGAAAATGCTGTATTCTCCGCTAGAGAGCTTCACCTCAGCCATTCAGAATGTGGCGCGCTCAGCAGCAGATAGATGCGCTGCAGAGGTTATGATTATGCTCGGTCCCGCGGGGGAGAGGTCTGAGGATTTAAACATTAAACTAAATTATTATTATTTAAATATATTTATTATGCAACACCCGCAACCCGACCCGCATCATCTTTGTTTTACCCAGAACCGAACCCGGAAAAAAGCGTTTGAAAAAATACCACCCGCAAATCACCTTTTTTGCGGGTCACCCGTCGGGTACCCGCGGATACCCGACCCGATGCAGGACTCTGATCTGCTGTAGTGGTTCCTCTGATGTTTATGAGCTCTTCCCTAGAGCGGAGTAAGAAAAGAGCAGTGATCAATTTATGCTTAATGTCAATTGTTCCAGGAGATAAAGCTGATGTTTCCTGGAGCCCAGCGCATGAACAGAGGAAACCACGAGATGAACGCACTGGTCGGCGCCTGCAAAGCCAACAACGTCACTGACCTCGTCATCATACACGAAACCAGAGGAAACCCAGGTATGCACAATGCCTCGGTCTCATGTTAGGGACATGTGATTGGTCCCTCTGGCTATGAACAGGAGTCTCCTACTACAGGAAGCAGCCCAAATAAAGCCACAATTAGCCACTTGTTGGCAACCGCCGTTATTATGACACATAGAAGCTTCAGACATTTATCAGTGAATTATTTACTGACATATTTCGTAGAACAAAAGGTGAACATCTCTTAAAACAGCTTTAACCAAATACCTTATTTTTAATCAAGAGGCATCTGATTAAAAACTTGTTCGAAAAAACGTTAATTTTGAAACCAGAAGTGTTAAAATGCTAACTTGTTCCCGGGTTTTAGCCTCATTCATGCATGAATTTATTTTATATTACACACTAACTCTAAGCAGGTTTTGGATATGAAGTGTGTTTTAAATTGGAAAACGAAAATAACTCGCTGAAAAAGTCAGTACGAACAAGACAAAGGACCAGCTGCCAATCCTTTCAACTAACTGAATTATAATGAAACAGCTCCATATATGGAAAGAAAGTAAGTATTAAATCTTAGGAACAACATTTTGCTTTCCTATGGAGGACTTTTACTAACGTGGTCTCTCACCGTCACAGTTGTCTATGACCTGTGCCTCAGATCACATGACCCTGTGTTCATTGTAGGCTGTAACTGTATTTTTAGACTCTGTAATAGACTATTGAGCTTCTCTACATAATTTCTGTCAAAGTGCTGCTGCGACAAAATATTTTCCCAACTTGGGATAAATAAAGTTGATATCTTAAAAAATCCAGGTAAAACAGGTTTTCATTATGTTGTGACTTACTTCCAGACGCCCTGGTGGTGTGCCACTTGCCTTTTGGACCCACGGCATACTTCACCCTTTACAACGTGGTAATGAGGCACGATGTTCCCGACATCGGCACCATGTCTGAGGCCTACCCCCACCTCATTTTCAACAACTTCTCCTCCCGCCTCGGCACCAGGGTGAGAGCTGGACCATCGTACACATGCCAGAGATATTCTCTTTCAAAATGTATTCCGTTACAAATACTAGTAACCTGTAAAAGAGAATTAATAATCAGTAAACTAATCTGAATTTCACAACAAAAGATTACCTGATTACTTCCTGTTATTTTTAGATTACTTCAATAGATTCAAATGCAAAGGCTTTATTCTACAGTAGCTACAGCTTAGACATGGCAATGAGAGTCCTGAGCTCCTCCAACAATGCAACATTATTATAAATAAGACATAAAACAATAAACCAAATTTAAAAATAGAAATAGTGCAAGACAGACTTGGACTCGAGGGCCGATTTACTGTGAGGGAATACAGTTACCTTTTTTGTATTCTGATTACGTAATCACGTAACATGTAATCTGTTGCTCCCCATCCTGACCTTCCCCACTTGTCACTAATTATGTGTGTTCACGCAGGTATCAAATATCCTCAAGTATCTCTTCCCGGTGCCAAAGGAGGACAGTAGGCGGGTCATCACGTTCTCCAACCAAGAGGACTTCATCTCTTTCAGGTCAGTCAGTGTGAAATAGTCCCTGCATCCCAGCCTTAGAGCCGCCCAAGACGATTCTGATTGGTTTAGAGAAGCTGGTTTTAAAATAGCCAGTGTTTTTATTAGGGGTGCACCGAATGGGAAATTCTTGGCCGAAACCGATACCGAAAATAGGAACCGGTTGGCCGAAAACCGAATGCCGAAAGGCCGAAAATGATTAATAGAAATATATATATATATATATATAATGTATACATTTTTTACCAATGTTGTTCAGCTGCCTGATTATGGAAAAATAAATGATTATGGCAAAACTTAACTTAAATAATAATCACTATTATGAGTCCATAAAACATTTATTCAGCACTTTTGAATGCATACAGTACATTAATTCCAAGTCAAGTGCATTTTCT